ATAAGAGGATTGTCTGATTTTCTTTCCCCCTACCTTTATCAGTCAGGTAATATAAGCTATTTCCTCTCCTTATCCTTCTCGTCTCCTTAATTAAGACATAAACATTCCAGGTGTAGCCTGATTTTTCCTAGACTACAAATCAAATTGCAGCAACACAGCCCTGCCATTCAAACATGAATTAATCACACAACCTTCCCAAAACTCAATTAACTCGACACAAAGAATTGCCCACATCAAAGTCAAAACAACATCATCACAACACCAGCAAAGGTGGACAACTCTCATGCACTCCACCTCTCAGCCTTGAACCACAAGTAAAAGAGAAAAAGTCTCTATTATTCTAATGTTCTCTGGCCCATGTCCAGCCCATGTTTTGCCTGCTACCTCTCCCATTTACTGTCTGTATCTTGAATTTACCAAGAGCCCCAAGCTGGGCAGCACATGGGACAGCACTGCAGGTTCAATCACTTCTGGCCCATTTTTTAATAAGCTTGAAGACCTGGGGTCAGCTGGACACAGGAACCAGTGCCTCCTCCAGCTGGATATGGTCTCAGAGGGACATGCAATGAAGACCAATCCCAGCTTCCCAGAAGATTTTTGGATGTCCTGCCCAAGGCAAGGCAAGCTCACCATTATAATCCACTAAACATTATCATTTCAGCACTGTCCTGCATTGAATGTGAGCAGGATTCATCTCTTCCAGTTCTGGACCCAGGAGATGCTGCAGGCAGCTGCACCATGCAGATGTACCCAGGGCTTGAGCCTCCTTGTTGTGCCTCCTATAAACCTGTAGTGCATCCAAATATGGATCAAAATCCTTAAAGCTGTGGTCCTTTGCACCAAAACCTTCTCTTTCCTTCTCAATACTCAGGTGTGATGTGTATTACAGTGTGACAATCACTGCCCATCAGGTGGGTGTGTCTTTTTATTTTAAAAGCCCTACTCACAGCACTTTGTTACACTGCCCAAGTCCTAAAAAGGGATCAACTCTGCCTCAAAAGGGTAAAAGAAGGTAAAAAAGAGGGAAGAAAGAGACATAACACATCAAGAGGAGAAGGAGCTGTACCTCCTCCCAGCTCAAGCTCAGCAGATTGGCAAGGTCCCAGGTGCTCACAGGTCTCCATGTGTGTTAACTTCAAGCTCTTCAGTTCCTCCACGCAGACCTACCCAAACATTTTTATTTGGGATTAAGTGCATTAGTATAAACCTGTTCCTCATTAGTTTAAATTAACCATAATAGCCCTGCTTTAGACTGAAACAAGGAGACAGATGGAAAGCAAGGAGGTAACTGGACCTTAATGAGCTGATGTTTGGTAGCTGAGTTGTGGAGACAGCACAGGATGTGCTCTCTCCCTGCCCTGGTTGGGAGGGGAAAGGCATCAGTGCAACCTCAAAGGTTTTATGCATGGTTGAGGCAGGTCCATCAGTGCTGAGCAGCAGACCAGGTGGCCCTAACCCTACCAAAGGATGGCCCTTCAGCTCAGCTATCCCATCCCTGTGTCCCCTTCGCACCCTGTGGTCCAAGCCAGCTCCAGCCACCAGGGCAAGTTGTCTTCAGAGAGCTCAGGAGAGCAGGAGAGCTCACCCAGGGAGGGCAAGAGGCTGGGCAGACACAATCTTCACCCTCATGGCATTTCCTATCATGTCATTGGGGAGAAATCTTTCTTTTTCTGACCAAAAAGGTGGGTAAAATCTCACTGAACAAGAGAAACTCAGTCCAGCCTTAGCTTTGGAGAAAAGCACATGTTTTCTTTATCTCCCCATGTCACTGGATAGATTAGATGAGATATATTTATCTAGACAGCAATCTGTGTAGCTGCAAAGACACAGCTACAAAATTCCATGGGCTGAGATCACCCCATTGCTGAGTTTAGCATCCCAGTAAGAAACGATTCCTCATTTTGGTGGTTGACATGTTTTCCTCCAAACATGAGGCACATGAGTAATTTGACCTCAAGTGTTGGGTGTTTGGGCTTTGTTTTTTTAATTCACATTAAGAAAAAAATGAAAGTGTCAGTAGGATGGGTTTGGGTTTTGTTGGGTTTTTTTTAAGTAAAACATTTCTTTTTTTGAACATTTTCCTTGCATGTCAATGGCCTGGATGAGGGGACAAAGTGTATCCTCAGCCAATTTGCTGATGGTCCCAAACTGGGAGGACTGGTGGATTCACCTGAAGGCTCTGCAGCCATTCAGCAAGATTTGGACAGGCTGGAGAGGTGGGCAAAGAGGAACCTGATGAGGTTCAACCAGAGTAAGTGCAGAGTCCTGCAACTGGAAAGGAACAACAAAATGCACCAGTACAGGTTAGGAACTGACCTGCTAGAAGGCAGCTCCGTGGAGAAGGACCTTGGGGTCCTGGTGGACAACAAATTATCCATGGGGCAGCAATGTGCCCTTGTGGCCGAGAAGACCAATGGCATCTTGGGGTGCATTAAGAAGAGTGTGTCCAGCAGGTCAAGGGAAGTTCTCCTCTATTCTACCCTAGTGAGACCCCATCTGGAGAATTGTGTCCAGTTCTGGGCTCCCCAGTTCAAGAGGGACAGGGATCTACTTCAGAGAGTCCAATGGAGGCTACGAGGATGATGAAGGGACTGTCTGATGAGGAAAGGCTGAGGGACCTGAGGCTGTTTAGTCTGGAGAAGAGAAGACTGAGAGGGGGTCTAATTAGTGTCTATAAATATCTGAAGGGTGGGTTTCAAGAAGGAGGGGACAATCTCTTTTCAGCTGTGCCCTGTGACAGGACGAGGGGCAATGGATTCAAACTGGAGCCCAGGAAGTTCCACCTCAACATGAGGAAGAGCTTCTTTCCTGTGAGGGTGACAGAGCCCTGGGACAGGCTGCCCAGAGAGGCTGTGGAGTCTCCTTCTCTGGAGACAGTCAAGACCCATCTGGGTGTGTTCCCGTGCAACCTGCCCTAGGTGATCCTGCTCTGGCAGGGGGGTTGGACTCAATGATCTCCAGAGGTCCCTTCCAACTCTGACCATCCTGTGGTTCTGTAATGCAGTATTTGTTCCTGTTTACTTGGGCTTTTCCATTGCTTGACTTTGCTTGTTCCAAGCCGGGTCAAAACCCCAGCTTTAGGAAGGAGGGTGAAATCTAGTGGAAGAGGAAAGTGCATGAAAGAAATAAGGAAAATAAAAAATGTGTCACTTCCTGCAACGTTTCTGAAGGCAAATAAAGGAATAAATGTACTATTACATTTTGTTATCCACTGTCACATCCAGTGGAGCTACAGATCTCCCATGCTCTGACAGAGCAACAATGTCCACTTGGACTGCCCTTTAAAGTTGTTTTGTTTAAAAAAAAAAGAGAAGTTGAAAAATCATGGATAAACACACTCCAAGGAAATATTTCCTGTGTACAGCAGAAAGGAGCTGAGGGAGAGCCCCTGTCCCACACTGGGGTCAGTCCCCACTGCAATGTATGGAGGCAGGAGAGCAGGGTCACTGGGAGGAAACGAGTATAAACAGGATCTGCTTTTATCAGTGGGGAAAAAAAACCAAAAGAACCCTAACCTTGTTTAAATTAGCCACAAATATGTGCCTATATGTTTTAATCACAAGCTGCTGTTTCCATTCCTTGCAGCAGGGTTAAGTCACAGATGTGGAGCTGCCCATCCCAGGCTGGCCCTGAGTGCAAGATGCTGATTGTCCTCTCTGCTTGGACAGGGGATGAGTGGGGGGCAGTCCGTGCTCACAGCCCGGGCGGGACCTCTGGGCTGGAGTGGCAGGACGGGAGGGGAGAAAGGAGACCTGCCAGCCTTGCAGGGCAACCTCCCGGTGGGATGCTGGGGCTGGGGGGCTGACAGCCTTCCAGTGCATCCTCCTGCTGGTGGGATGCGGGAATTGGGGGGCATGTGTGTTGGAGGGGGGG